AAATCATTCTACGTTGTGTCGGTTTTTGCTTTTGTATTCTTCATTTTATATGTAAAGCCGATTAGATCCCGGCCTTCTCACCACTTTGACATTCCTGACCATAGAATCCAGCAGTACACAAACAGCGGTAGCCTTTCTCAGTAAAACCGGTTTGACAGGTTCCGTTGATCTTGCAGGGGTTATTAACACAAACACTCTGAATAGACAACCGCAAACCATGTCATCATTTAATAGACACGACATAAAATCGTCTGTGTGAGTGGTTGAGTGAGCCATTAATATCAAATAGTTTTTGCTTAAACCTTACTTGTTAAAACAATCAAAATTATGTACCACCCGATTGACGCGACCAGTAAATAAGGACAACTACTTTCAGTTAGTCTTATGGAAAAGTAGTCATGTACTTTCTTTCTTGACCCTTTTCAGACCGAGTTGCTTTGGTCTTCCGGGAGGGGGAAAAATTTATGGCCCCCACCGTGAAACTCTTACAAAATTGAAGGCGTTACATTAAAACTAGGACGGTTTATACCATGTCAAATAGTATATCATTGGAAGTCCATAGCACGGACCAATAAACGTCATTTTTTCCCAACAGCAGCCATCTTAGATCCACCTTCTTCTGATGTTGTGGCTTAAAAAAACTTTAAAAAAGCACTAAAACGGTTCAACATCAATCGCAAATGGTTGCTATTATAACGTGCAGATCTTAAACAAACGAAACTTAGCACCAAATTGTTTCGAGATAAATTCTAAAACATCAATAAAGTTGGAGTTCATTATGTGATATAATTCTTACCTTTGTTCCGCGGTACACATAATCTGGGTTTCCCTCCAGGTCATTTTTGTTTCCTTCATGAGTAGCATTGTTTAATTCACATCTGTGTCCCACAGCTTCACTTCTCCTCATCAAATTATAACTTGCACAGTTGTGCTCCATGTAACATAGCTTATCACAGAAGTCTGTCACCAAGGGATCATGAACCCGTATCACGTGATTCACGAGACGTTTGCCCTGGAATGCTTGTTCGGCTCGGAACTCCAGGTGACGACACTGATCTGTAAAATAATAATTGTAAATGCAATCTGATTTTTTTTAAATCTCGTGCAACCTCTATAGTCTCTTGATACATTTTATGGCCCCACAACTATAGGAACAGACCCATATGTATGCATAGGAATAGAAAACCGTGCACCTCATTTTTCATGGTCAACTTGGCTAGCGGTGTGGGTCTTGGGCTCGTGGCCCTATGACCAAAACCGACGACTCCGCGCAATATGGCAACCATTTCGACGGATCCATGCAGCCAGGCTTGGTTTACAGCGTACATATTCGATATTGAACACCCATGTTATGTCAATTGGACTGTCAATTGATACCCGACAAAGTAAGGTATCCGCTGACCCCTATCACGT